TCTGTGGCGTTAGTGGGGTTGGTTGTTTTGCCCTTTTGTGGTGTTAGGTTTCGGTTGTGTGTGTTTTATTGTTGGTTGGGTGATTGGGTTTTGGTTTTTCGCCCTTTGTAGCGTTAGGTTTCGGTTGTGTGTGTGTGCGTGTGTGTTTTATTTTGGTTGTGTGTTTGGGTTTTGGTTTTTCGCCCGTTGTGGCGTTAGGTTTCGGTCGTGTATGTTGTGTTTTTGGTTGGGTGTTTGGGTTTGGGTTTGTCGCCCTTTGTGGCGTTGGGTACCCCTCAAACCCCTAAACTCCTAAACCCCTAAACCCCTAAAACTTGTAAAACCCAAAGTCGCAAGGCGAAAGGCAAAGCCATTGCTGCCGGTGATGCGCTGCACCAAGGCTGAGGGCGTTTTATGTTTCAGAGATGATGGGTTTAGGGTTTAGGGGTTCGCTGGCCGGCACCTCAGTCCGTGCTGAAAAGGGGTTTAGGGGTTTACGGTTTAGGGTTTAGGGGTTTAGGGTTTAGGGTTTAGGGTGTAGGGTTTCAGACATCCCAGAGACTGCGCAACCCCTTAATTAAGGAATATACCTTTGGGGGTAGGTCCAATCTACTACTAGGCTGTAGGCCCAAAGACTCCAAAACCCCTTAAATAAGGAATATACCTTAAATCATAATAGGAACCCGGAAAGGAATATTCCTTAATAAAGGGGTTTGGGAGTCTCTGGATGATGGGTTTAGGGTTAGTGTTGTCCGAAAAATGTTTAGTGCTGAGGGCGTCTTATGTTTTGATTAGTTAAATGGGTTTAGGGTTTAGGGGTTTAGGGTTTAGTGTTTGGGGCTTATAGTCCCTTATTATAATTAGAGTATAAAATACCCCAACGTCCTATTCTGACTCTAAGCCCCTAAACCCCTAATATGAATTATTGCCTATATATATTTTTGGGGGGCTCCCTGATTATAACTACAGTATAATATCTACCAAAACCTCATTCTAATTCTTAAGGCCTGCGGGGTTTTGATCATCAACCGTAGTGTCCCGTTTGGGGTCCTGTTGATAAGGGTGCCGGACCATTTTGGGGGACCCAGAAAGGGGATCAAAGTGTAGAGGACTATCCGAATCGACAAGATTCTCGGGCACTCGTCAAGGTGCGTAGCTTTTTTAAGTTCTCGTTGCATGTGAAGGTGGCCCCAAAGATGTAATACCTAATGTGCTGTAAGGGGAATGCCGAATCTCAGTGTCTGTGTACATTCTGATAGCCCCAATTCGGGGTATGTTATGCCATTAGTAATTGTTATTCCGGCCCGTGTATCGGACATAAGCATTAAACTTTGCAGAAGCCCTCAAAGCCTGCGGAGCCATGTTGGAAAAAGACGTATCGAAGCCTCCAGACACTTTAAACCCTAAACCATGAACCTTTCAACCTTCCCTCACTCACCAGAACCAAACCCTAAGCCCTAAACCCTAAACCCTTAACCCTAAACCCAAAACCCAAACCCCTAAACCTATAGGGGACACTAATATAGTACCCTATTTAGTAGGATCCTCATTATAAGGACCCCAAAACAAGGACCCCTTGTTTTCGGAAACTCCCACATGTCCTGAGGATTTACTGTATTTACTATTCAGGGTTTATCTTGGGCCGTTCGAGCTGAGTGTGTTTGAGGGCCTGACAGCTCTAGGAGTTTTAAGCCTAAACCTTGAACCCAAAAACCCGTAAAAAAGTAAGCCCCAAACGCCCTAAACCAAGCCCTCGTGCGACTTTCGGCTTCGTGGCTTCTCTCGCTTTCTTTCTAGAAACTTCCCGCCTGTCCGGGGTCTTCTGCCTGAGCCTCGACCCTGGGAAGCTCTAGGCCCTAGGCATGACCTAAACCCTCTTGGAAAGACTCCACCAGCACCCCAGAGTCCCTGGAGCCCTACCCCGAGCCCTCCAACCCTCAACATCGCAAGCCTTCACATTTCGCAAAGCCCAAGAGAATCCGCGGCAGGTTGAGCCCGCGCTCCACGAGCCAGGCAGCACCTTGGCAAGGAGCATAAAATTGGACTGAAGGGTCTAATCCGCCGGCAAGGGCGCAGGCAGTAGTTGATCCTTCATCATCCAAGACGTGCACTTACTCAGACCTGAACCACCTAAACCCTAAGCCTCCGCCCTGCCCAAACCCAAACCAAACCCGCTAAACCATGAAAGCCCGATAAACCCTAAACCCTAAAGCTCTCAAACCTACAGCTGAGGGTTTCAACTTGTCTTTGGGGCCCTTCGAAGGGCCAACGCGGCCTGAAATCCCAACCATAAATCCTTTTGCTTGTCCACGACACATTGTATCCAAATGCCTTAGTTCCTCGAGTCGTGTTCTGACTTTTTGGAGCTCGCAGTAGGGCCGTAGTACAGCGGCTGTAGGGTTTCTGGTTTTTAGGTTTGCAATCCTGGTAAGCCCCAATAAGAGTTTCACAGAGACAGGGACCTCACACAGACCCGAGGTGAGGACACCTAAGTTTAAATGCGACACCCAACCAACAACACCCTTGCAAAGTCCCGTAGACTCCCAAGCCTTGCAAGCTCCATGTAAGGATCTGGCCAAGTTGCTCAGCAGCACCCGGCTTTCCAGCTCGCGGTGCGGATTTTGGGATTCGGCTCACCACGAAGTTCCATCTTGCACCTTGGAGACAACACCCCCATCCCTGGAACCCTGACCTTGAACCTCAACCCTGACAAACCTGCAAAAACCTGCGAAGGCAGTGAAGAAGGAGGAGAAGAGAATGCTTGCCAAGGCGACTGCCATCAGTGAAGGACGCTGGGGTCGAGGTTTCTGGGCTCAGGCTGTGGCTGCGGAGCGATTTGGAGACCAGGGCAAGCCTAAGGCCTTGTTGAGAGGTACGGCACGCTACCGCGCTAAATCTTGTACCGGAAGCAGACATTGCTTGCCCCTCTCGAGTCGATTTCATTCCTATCCTAACCTATGTGTTGAAAGATAACCTCATATACATTCACCAAGCCCTACAACCTGCATACTCTAGACCTACAATTCTCAACATCAAGGTTCCCATGAACCCAAGTAAGCCGAATAGTTCCTAAACCTGACCTTTAAACTCGCAGCCACAACAATCTGAACAAAAACCTTCCTTCAATCCCTACCTACGGTCTCCATTGTCCTTAAGTTTTTGGTTAGCCGAATTTGTATTATAGAATCCTAACCATATAAACTGTTTGGACAAGAAGGGGAACTACAACGTAGACTACAGGTACTCAAACAACTACCACTATTGTTTTATGTGTGTGGAGGGGTGTCCGTATTAAGAACTATGGTTAAATTTATCCCCGAGCCCTGTTCCAGTTGATAAGGCCGCTGTATTACTCCCTCATCTTCTGCAAAGACGATCTATTGAGGAGCCCGCAGAGAAGTCGAGGTCGCAGGCAGCGGTTTAGGGTTTAGGGGTTTAGGTTGTAGGGTTTTGGTGGTACAGAATCATAAGGACAAAGGGGCCATGAGGGATATTATCAACTACAATTCCCTCTTCGTCCTCCCGAATTCAACATTGGAGATCACTGACTCCGAAACATCTATCTCCAAACCCCGGTCGAACCGAAACTCTCTCCAAGAGCCTCAACCAGCAACCGATGTAGTGCATGCTATAGAGTGTCGTGTTTGGGGTTTGGGCTTAGGGTTTAGGGAATCGCCGTTATAGTTTGTGTGTGCATCCTAAACTTAGATACTTGGGATACCTCTATAGGGCAGACAGAAACTGGGTTTAGGGTTGAGAGTTTTCAGGTCACAGGCTAAGGAGTCCACACACACACACACCACAAGCCGCAGTCTACAAGTAGTTCTCTAAATTAGGGTCCTACGTTAGCTAAGTAGTTTTGTGGATGGTTTATTGATAATCAATGGTTCATCATCCATAATTTGCTATCGCTGGATGTGGAGACTTCCATGGCTGTGGATTTTAGATTGAAGACTGCTCACATGTTTTACAAGCCACTGCGATCTTGACAACCTTTTTGCTGGGTTTCTGAAACCCCCTGTGCCCCAAGGTAGAAACTTGTGCACAATTGACCATGCCCAAAGCATTTCATATGGTTTGCATTTACTACCTCAAAGAGTTTTTCACAAGCTACCTCAACCTTCATCCGAAGGAAACCTGAAGGTGCTCTCTCAAAGGCATTGTCTTACGAGCTGAATCAGCTGAGGATAAGAGTCTGGCGGTTTAGAGCAGAAGACCCATGGTTCAACATACAGGCTGCATCACTTTTCTTGATCACGTGCCACAAGGCCAGCAATGGCTTGGGTGCCAAACGGTTGACCCAAAGCCCTGTCAACATCGCAACTCAAAAATCGATTTCACGACAAAGAACTGTAGCCAGGATCACAAATTGAGCCGGCTCGACCTCAAACGATGTTGGATAGTCAATGGTAAACCATCATCAAGTTTGGTTATTGGCTATACCCCTACAGATATTTGTACATACGTATATATACGTACACATGATAAATCATTTTTAGCCATTGTACCCAGTTATTTAAAGGATGATTTCAGATGCCGCCCAATGGTGATGGGCGATGCTTGGTTCTCCGTGCTGCGAGGGGATCGACGTCAAGGTCATGGTTGAAGCAAAGCCTCCCGGATGGCCACGGCCTTGGCCGCAAGCTGCAAGGCAGTAGTTCCGAATTAGAAATCGGTTTATGATGTTAATAAGTTGGTGAACTATAGTTATAACCACCATAAACCATCATATCACCAATTGTTAGGAGGGCAAAGTGTTTTGGAGAATCGAGAACCTTCAGGTGGCATGCTGATGGTAGGGCTTGTGCTCAAAGGCTGTGAGAGAGAGGTTCCTGGGATTGAGTCACAATACGTTGGAAACACATTGGTTAATTCACTATGAACCAGAATGAACCATTGCATGACCATTCATCAACCATGAAGGAAGCCAAGCAGTGATCTACATGCAAACTTGTGACTTATTTGGACTTCGAAGTGTGTAATTCGACTCAGTCCCAAAGCTATCGCCTTGGTGTTCCGCCATGGCTTTCCTGATGGCGATGTTCCTTACTCTTCCAGCTTTGCATGCGGCTGTGGATGGAGATGCTCGGTGCCTGTGCAAAAACAACCATACCGAAAAGGACATTGAGAAACATGGACTCATATACGAAAGCAATCAGACTGGTGAGACAAGGGACTATAGCACCTTCGGGATCGGATGTAAGAGCCACAAAAGAGATGCGGAGTTTGCCCAAAGGATTTACAAGCACTGGTCGGCTGAGCAGTTGCACTGCTCTGAAGAGGGCAATGGTCCCAGTGGCACGAATGACCCTTGGTGTAGCGCCAACTGGTGCTACATTGAGAACGCCAGGAATTGTAGTCTGGATTGGCAACATGGACATTTGGGGCCAGTGTCTTATGCCACCTGTGGCAACGTGCATGATGGCTGGCCAGACTATCTCGTCAGGTCAATGGCGCCCCGTCTCCAAGGAGACCCTCTTCGGGTGCTTCACCTGGAGAGTTCATTGGACAAGGACTATATGGGAAATAGTCAATGCGACGACTCCAACGGTGTGCACTGCGAAGGTTTGTTCTTCAGGTTTTGGAAGGCCTCCCTCTCAGTGCTGGAGCAGCTTAATGTTTCAGTGATATCGACACTCATCAAGAAACATGAGAGCATTGATGACTATTTCGACAACATCAGACGTGCCTTTGATCAGCGCGTGGAGTCTTGGGAGAATTTGACTGGCTTCAGGGAAAAGAAGTGGACCAACTACGACATTTGTGCCTTTGCCACGGCGCTTGGCTGGGTAGATTTGTGCTCCGGGCAGTTTGCGTTGAACCGCGAGCGGCAGGAGCTCACTTTTATGGTCGAACTCCACACCACCCCAGCTTTCATCATCTCTCAAAGTTCTTGTCATTTCGCCGAATTCTGGTGGTGGATCAAGGTTTTCAGGGCAGACACTTGGTGGTTCATTCTCGGCACCTTCTTCATTTTGATCCTGTCGATCACCACGCTCAATGGAAAATTTGCCGCCTTGGCGACACCGGGCGACCTCACAGCAGAGGCTCGTGCTTCTTTGGCCCGGAATCTTTGCCTTGTCTGCGAAGGCCTCTTTGAAGCGTTCGTTGAAGGGTCCACAGAGAAGACCGATCACGACAGCCAAGATGAAGATGGGAAGCTCTGGCTCTCCTGTGCACGAAAAGTTGCTGTGATGGGCCTGAAGGTCTTTATTCTCGTGACTACTACCATCTATTGTGCAACCCTCACCACAGACCTGGTTGTAGAAAGACAACGGCAGGGCAAGTTCCCAACCTTGGAAGCGGTGAAAGCGAGCACAGACAATGTCACTATATGCCTCCACGAAGTCTATCGAACATCAATGCTTCCGCATGAACGTGCGCATATTAATACCAGCTACTACTGGAGCTGGGAGGAACTCATGGGAAACTACACCAATCGCGTGTGTGATGCTGCGATTATTGACGAGGAAGCTTGGACATCATTTCGTGCTCATCGTCGGCTTTGTGACTCCTACAAGCCAGACATGCCCACCTTCTACATGTCTACAGGAGTGACTGTCTCCAGACGAGCTTACCGGACCTTGGAAGCTTTCCGCTACAACACAACTGCGGCAGCCTTTGAACTTGACTCGCCCGACAACCATGCCTTGCGCGACGAGTTCCTTGATGGTTGCCCTCCGAACTCACCAGCTCAATTGTGTGAAACCAAGGAAGTACCCTGGGAGCCTTTCCAGAGCGTTGCTCTGGTCGGCATGGTCCCAGTTGTTGTGGGCATTCTCGTTGTCGGTGTGAAGCGCGGAAAAGAGGCTCGTGCCCGTCCCAGGTTTCAAAACGAGGCCGAAGTCGAAGTTTAGGCGCACACTTAATGCGTCTGGAAATTTGAAGCTCCAAGATGTGAGGCATCAATCTTCTGGCCCACTTGACAGCTCTGGCCGTCTATTATAAGCCACGGCCTAATTCAGAAAGTGGTCGACTGACAAACTTTCGACCATCATCATGATGCTTGGGCAAGTTAGAGAGACCTCACCCGACCAATCCCCACTTGTGATGATTTAGAAGGTAGTAATATGGCGAAAGATTGCCTTATTTCACGTGTGTGATCTATAATAATTTGCCCAGAATCATGCCTAGATCTGTTGAACATTGATGAATCGCTAGCTGCCTCCGGCAACCATGGAAGGAAGCATCACGACACCTGATGATGGTGGCTGGAGGGGATTTTGCAGATCTCTTGACGTGTGGCAGTGTGCTTTCATTAAAAACTCCAGGCAGACGACAAGGCTGCTTTGTTCCCATGCTTACTTCAGAGACTCAATGACTGCAGCAGTTGGGTGCAATCGCAACAAGAGCAGCCAGAGGACCCCAGCCTCCGAAACGAAAACCAACAGCCTCAAGCGTTGGACAGAGCCCCGCTGGGCCATCGCTTTCACCTTGACTTCGGGTCTGAAGTGCTCGATGCTCCGTCGCCTCGACCCTTCGGTCTCCGAGGCACGGCCAACATCGGTGGGAATTCGACGGCGACTAAGCGAACTGCACAGGCCGCTGGGCATGGAAGCAGCCGTGGCCGTAGCCGCCGGGGCTTCGGGCTGGGCCTGAATGGAGGCAGAGGCAAAGGTTCGTCGACGGAGGTTGAGGTCGGATCTTTGCGAGGGATTCTGCTTCTGGTAGGTCAGCTCCGGCCTCCTTGGAGCGGGGGTCCTAGTTTCACATGTGGTCTTCGTTGTACCATGCTCCATACGTCATACGCCGTGCTGCACATGACTTCAGTAGTCGTCAAGAGGAGTTCTGGGCAGGAGAAATTCCGCGTCGATCCCAGGAGGTACATACAGTAAGTTCATGAAACTATATAAAGCAACAGCAGCAGGCGACGGACCTTTCATTGTGTTGCAATCATGCAGTTCCGTGCGGCCTGGCAGTTGATTACATGCACCTTGGGTTCGAGCCAGCATGCTTGCAGAAGCCAGCGTCTCACAGACCAGGCGGTGGAGGTTATGCCCGTTTGTCGCTCGACTGCAGAGCAGCTAGAGAGTCCCACGGGCTCGGGCGCTTGAAGGCTTCGGAGTTTGGGCTGCCAGACTGCTCACTCCATCTAAAACAAGCCCAAGGGCTGATCCGTTTCAGCCGTCTTTCGGGTCCTCCGTGCTATAAGGCTTGTGTGCGACACAGAAATCATCAAGGGTGTCTCAGCTAGAAACGTGCACGACAGCCCCGCTTTCTAGTTTCCGGAAGCCCCGAAGGCCCAGACACCGGTCGGCTCAGGCTCGTCAGTGCGGAGACGGCGTCCGCGGGAATCCTGCGCTGGCACCTGGGCTCGCAGGAGGAATCCGCGGGGCCTAGGCCTAGGCCTAGGGAGTTTCAAAAGCAGTCGAAGTTGGGAGCGCCGTGTTGTGGGCTCGGTACAGGCCGCTGTGCACGCCGCTGCAGTGTCTTTTCGGTAGCGCCAGCGCCCCGGCGGCCTTGAGCTCGAGGTGCATCAAGAGCCAGCAAGGCGACGATTGGTTGATCATCGGCATCATCCCTGCAGAGAAAGCGGAAGAGGCGCCTCGGATGAGGGGAAAAGCTCCTCCGCCACGCAGGGTTCCAGGCGCCCGGGAGCGTTTTCTGCGCCGTCCCTCTGCCCAGGACGGGTTCCTACGGCATCAAGTCCAAAGAAGCGTACACGGACGTTCGCCATCCCGTCGCTTGCAGGCAAAGAGGGCCGCCCGTGTCGGGTTGATGCAGAAACCCGAAGCCGGAACTGACGGTCCGGTAAGTTTCCCTGCAGTAGGCGCGTTGGAGGCATCCTCCGAGGCCCGAGGCCCCCCCGTGGCCCCCAAAGTGAAAATGCTGCGCGAGCCTGAAGCGGACGCAGCCAAGGAGTTTGACATCTACAAGAAGTCCGCTCCTAAGAGTGCAGTGTGAAACGATGTCTGAAGAGGATGCTGCCGGGGGGAATGGGCTTTCCAGACATCTCTAGACACTTCCGTGCGCTCGCAGTTGATCGTTTTCCTCGCCGTTGTTTGTGCCAGGTACATCGAGGTGATCGCGGACCTGGACGCTCGAGTGGCCAAGGCCAGATTTCCCGGTGGGCAGCGCAAGCCTTTGCACCGAGGGGCCCGAACTTGCAACAATGGCACCAGTGGCTTCGTTGCCGGGCGAGTTGTTTCAGCTGACAGTGAGTTCGGAGATTTTGCGGGAGCAGCTTTTCCCGGTTCCTGGCCGGCACTCGCCGTTCGGGAGTTCCGGTGATGCCAGTTCATGTGAAAATTCCAACCCGGGTTCACCATGATCGGATCCCAGGTTGTTGGAAGTCTATCATCTTTCCAAGCAACAATCCAAATCTAAAACAAAAAAAGCTTGCAAGCCGCAATTAGCCGTAAGCTGAAGACCTGTCAGCTTGCTCACTTCTTCACACACTCCCACCAGAACGATTGACTGCCAGTTCTCTGCACCAAGTACAAATCAAAATCTGCAAGTGGCGTCGAAAAACAGTCAGCGCTCTCTGTGACGCGCCCAACCTCTTGCTCAGCAACATTGTTCAAAACAGCAAGCATGAGCCGTCAGAAGAGCTGATCTTTTTTTCCGAAATGTTCTTCCAGACCACGCAATGAGTCCATCTTGTTTGGCTGGACATGCTCATGAGCTGCCATGGGGATGCTGTGTTGGGACTCTGTTTACTGCAGCATGGGCTTGCAACAGCAGGCAGTTCGGCACCAACTTGCCAGACTTCATCTTGGCCTTTTTTGCCTTGTTGTGCTGGTGGTGGCACGTGCTTTCCTGCTATTGGCAGATGACGGCAGATGAACTGCTGCGCCGAACTGTGGCTCGCAACCAATGCTTGAGGCCGAATCACGCCAAAACAAATTTTTCCTGTGCTCTCGCCTATCAAGACTTAGGCTGGCCGCACAGCCGACAGATCCAACACGGTGAAAAGATGATGCATGTAGAGTTCTAAAGTCCTAGAGCAGCTGGTGCCTAGAAAGCTTGGAACCCAGATCTGGAACGATGCCGAGCTAGTGTGATTCCGCTGTACAGTCGTCTTCAATGAACCCGAAAGTTTGCTGTTTCGCACAGGACGGCACCGTGAACCTCACGTGGTGGGGGTGCTGAATAGAAGGTTGCTGTGTGCCGCTAAAATGGGGAAAAACGCTCAGCACGCACTTGTCTTCCCCGAGCACGCTTCGCTCTGCACTGACACAGCTCAGCAACTTCCGCAGACAAAACGCCAAGTGCATCGATCGAGTTTTGTTTCTTTTACATGCATTGCATAGTGTAAACCTAGTGAATGCTCGTTAGTCGTTTGTATTTTCCGCCAGCGATGTTTTCTCAGGCTTGTCACTAGGGTGATAGCATCGCTTTGCATCGCAACACGTGGCCCAAACCAGAGCAGCACACATGCTGTAGGTTTAGCAGCCTTAAAAGTTCACCCGACGCCCGCGGAGAAGAAACTCAGAGCACACACTGCTTTCTTACCCGAACTGACACAGCAACCTGTGCGGACAAAAAGACCGACTGCATCGAGTCTTGTTTCTTTTACATGCGTTGCATAGTGTAAACCTGGAGAACGTCAAAAAAAAGTGTTGGAGCTGCACGCAGGGACCAGCAATTTGGTTGATTGATTGAACCCCTCTAATGAAATTTTGCTTGGCAGTGATAGTGGGAGAGGCTGATGAGGAGAACACAAAATGATACGATGGTAAGTTCACATTTTATGCGCATGAGGCATACAAGTCAGGGTTCAGAAGCTTACGGCTTTGGATGCCGCTCCTTGGGTCTTTAGGCCTTATTTTGATGTTGCAACAAAGAGGCAGTTATGGATGTGCAGACCACGTGACTTGTGGGAAGATGTTGATTATGCAAAACAATGTTGCAGATATGGGTCACAGAGTTTCAGGGTCTCGTTGATGCATGGGCTAAACCGAAGTGCACGCACATGCACAAACATTTTTGTTTAAGCTGTTTGCTTGACTCCGAGCTCGGCAAGCCTTTCTCTGAATGGCTCCTTGTTGGCGTAAGGTGAAGCTGCAACTTTCTGTTTGCAAGAAGCATATGAGATTCAATTTTTGCCAAGAATATTGCTGTTTGTTTCGGTAGGCCAGGACAATCGTGTCGTCCATTCTAGGCAGTGTCAAGAGGTTAAATACTGGAATACCTAGCCCGCCAGGCAAGGGAGGCACTTGTCATTGCAGCAGATTATTCTTTCTGCAGGGCCCTGGAGCTAGTTCTCAGGTTTGGAACTATCGGCTTTACCACAAGGTGTGCGGAGCTGGATCGCCTGCTCGGGGTGCCAAGCCAAAAACCTTACAACTTAAAGTTTAGAGCCCTTCCTAACATGGAGAGATGCTTTATGTTGTTGGCCGTGATGGTGGGTATGCCTCTGCTGTGGCACCGGGTCTCTGCTGCGAAGGTGCAGCATCCGCCGAAAATTGCTGGGGTTCTTTTAGCAGGTTTTAGGCCTGTGGTAAATGGTCGAGGGGGTTCAGGGCTTAAGGTTTCGTGACAGTTTGGTGGCGGGCTTATTGTGGATTTTGTTTGGTGTAGGCATTGGAATTGGGGTTGTTTTTGGCTCCCCTGCGCGGTTGTCATGGACGATTAACACAAAAAGTCGCAGGAATGCTGCAAAGTGGCCCAGGCTATCGAACAGGTGATGGCCGAGCTTGCGTTCCGGGTTTTGGACGCTCTAGGTGAGGTGACTTCCCACATGAGTCCACATGAGTCCCACATGAGTCCACGTGCGTGCCACATGAGTCCACATGAGTCCGACATGAGTCCACATGAGTACCACATGAGTCCACATGAGTCCCACATGAGTCCACGTGAGTGCCACATGAGTCCTTGCCACGTATTAGACTCAATAGCTGTATTCAGGGGCACCGTACAGGTTCAGGGACACAGCGGGACTCTACCCCCTGCTACATCAAATTTGATTTTTTTCGGGATTTACGTGTGAGGCCATCGCCACAAGCGTCTTTGGCTCGCACACTTGCCGGTTGTTGGGTCCGAACCCAAACTGCATCAGTACGAATACCAGGAATGCAATGCGCTCGAACTCCTCACAACCATCCCCCCCACATGCTGTGGCAAACATTCCTAGCAGGATGCATTGTGGCAGCTGCCTGACTGCAACATCGAGGTCCTGGAGGACGGGGTTAGAGCAGACAGCGCCAAGGTCACAAGAATTAAGAGCATGTACGACACGACCAGTGCAGGAGTATGCAAATCCTGAGCCCTAAACCCCAAGTCCCAGAACGAAAGCTAGCAAAGTCCAGGAGGATGCTTGGAGACTGCGATTCCTAGAGGAGCGCGCTAGCAGCACTGAGCCGATTGGGACTTGAGCAAAAGAAATGCTGCCGGAGGGGCTTAGGCTTGCGATCTGAGCGTCGTCCGAAACAAGCCGTAAGCGCCAGGCACGGACCCACAAAAGCCAAAGCCCCAAAGCTTGAAATGGGTCAACCCTACATTCCCTACATCCTGAACCCTAAAAGCCGAAAACCTCAAGTCCTAGCTCCCGTTCCTCAGCCTAGATTCGGATCCCCAAACGTAGATCGTCGAAACTTTGGCCCGAACACCCTAACCTTAAACCCTGCTACCAGGTTTCATGGGCAGCGCCCTGTGCTTCTGCGTGGCTGGAGCTCGGAGGCAACACTGCCTCGGGGGATTGTAGAAGGGTTCCATATAGGGTTTAGGGTTGTGGGTTTAGGGTCTACGGGTTCTGCACGGGTTGGGTTGAGAAACCGTTTAGAGCAGGCTGTTGACTTCTAGGGTTTTTTTAGGGGTCCTAAACCCTAAACCCCTAAACCCTAAACCCTAGACCCTCAACCCCTAAGCCCGAAGCCCCAAAACCCCAAACCCCGAAACCCGAAGCCCTTCAGGATTTCAGTTCCAAGGTGCCAGGGTTTGGAGCCTGGCCGTTGAGGGCCTTCGGTTTCACGGAATTTGGGGGTTTCAGGTTTCCGGCATTCCGTGCATGCTTTTTGAGTGTGCAAGGTTTTGAGGGGCTTGCGGTTTAGGGTTCAAGGTTGCTGGCTTTGGGGTTCAAGGGCCTCTCATGAATTCGTTGCTCCCTTCGAAGCAGGAGCATGCAACAAACACAGCTTCATGTACCAATGAATCCTGATGTAGTTTATCTTGTTTGCGCCCCTAATTAGCACCAGGTTCGAAACTTAGACTCAAACAGCAAAGCCACATGAGCTACAGTCAGGGATGTCAGGGCTTAGGTTATTGTGAAGCCACTGGCATTTACCTGATGCTCATCTTCGCCCAGGCTACACAGAAGCTGGCAGAGCGGCTGGAGAATGAGACCATGCTGTCAGAATTCGGGAAGATGGAGGCCGGTGTAAGAGTGACTTATGGGTTCTTCATGACCCTCAACCCTAAACCCTAAAGCCTAGCAGGTTTCAGGCTTCAGGCTTCACGATTTCTTTTAAAGTTGCCTCTAGTGCTTTGGAGATTCTGTGGTTTCGTGCTTTGGGGGTCGGGTCTCAGTAGTAGTAGTAGTAGTCGTCGTCGTTGTCGTCGTCGTCGTCGTGGTCGTGGTCGTCGTCGTCGTCGTCGTCGTAGTCGTAGTCGTAGTCGTCGTCGTCGTCGTAGTAGTAGTAGTAGTAGTAGTAGTGGTGGTGTAGTTGTAGCAGGCAATCGAAAATCTTGAGTCGAAATGCAGCTCAAGTTGGAGTCTCGGGAGTCGAATGTCGAGGCAATAGTGGGCCTAATGTAGGGGCCTGAATTTTTGAGGGGTCCTTTTTACACTTATGGCACAATATACCCCAAAACCCCATGCATGCCAGTGAGCATGGGCCGCGGGGTATTGGGATTCGGGGCTTCAAGGGTTTTCGGGCTGCAGAGGTTGGGGGCCCTGCGGGTGTAGGGGTTAGGGCTTCGGGTATGTGGGAGCTTGGTGGCCGCAGGTGCGCGTGGGCCGTGGCTTCTTCTTCCATGTGCAGGGGCAGGCTGAAGAAAGTCTTCCGCTGGAAGATTTCGTTCGGAGCATGCCCAATGACAACTACTTGTTCGACTTCGGTGAGCCTCCTGCTTGCATGTAGCACTGTTCTTTGCAGGAAGAATGGCCTCACGACCACCTCGACTTTCCTCTGTTACACGCATTGCTCGGTTGCACAACTCTGACAGACTGGCAAGGGGGCACTAAACTCACTATACCCTAAACTCTAAATTAAACCGCCAAGGTTCATGGAGCAAAGCGGTTTGTCTGCCAACTGGAGCCTTCCTCCTGTCCTGGAGCAGCTCGGAACTTACGACACCTCCTCTGTACCCCTTCGGCTGGCGTTGGGCAGCACAGGTCAGGGAATGCCTTTCCACAGCCACGAAGAGCCTTGCTTGGGTTGGCCATAAAGCCTAAGCCTCGAGCCTTAAAACTTGTGCGAAGAGACGTCAGCCCCACCAAACGACCACCTTAATTCGCGGCTCACGGTTTTGAAACGTCTGCCAATGATGCCTGGTTCTTGCTGCACCGCCCCCAGGACTCCTACCACTTGCAGCTGCAGGGACGGAAGCGATGGGGAATCTATGCGCCAGGGAAGATGACAAGAACTGGCGTCCTCCATTCCGAAGACTATACGACCTGGCTGAGATTCAGAAGGAGCGCAGTAGTGTAGATGCATCGCAGGTAGGAGCAAGTTCAGGCTCAACAACATGGTCCGTCTTTTGACGTGGGACGGGTCCTCTGCAACAGAATCGACGGGTGGAGCGTCGTGTTTGAATCGCAGTTCGCCGTTTGAGAAGCCCTGCAGGAGAGGCAGAGGCTTCGTCCCACCGCAGTGGGAATGCGTTTCAGAGCCCGGTGACCTGCTCTACGTCCCAGAAGGATTCCAGCACGCCACTGCAAGCCTGGGCTACTCCGTGGCCGTGGTGCAGCAAGCGCGCCGCGCCCTGCCTTGGTCGGCCGTCTTCCACCGACACGCTGCCGTGCAGGCGAGCCGGGAGAAGCAGCAGAAGCAGGCGGTGAAGCTAGCAAAGAAGGCCGCAAAGCTTGACCCCACGAACTCGGATTTGTGGCTGACCCTGGCTCAGATACACCAAGGGCCAGACTCGGACTCCGCCGCCAAGATGGTGAAGTATTGCGAGAAAGGCCTCAAGGCCAACCCTCTCTGCGGGAAGACCCGGCTTCATCTGCTCATGGCTTACAACTCCCTCGGCCTTGCCCACAAGACCCAGGAGCTCAGGAAAAAAATTGCCCACCTGAAATTTGAAAGCAAAAGCAAGCTGAAGCCCAAGGCTCTTCGGGAGCCCGAAACCCCTAAGAGATTGAAGTCTCACTCTCTAAATCCCGAGAATGCAACCCCTTAAGCCTTAAATTCTTAAAGCGACTGGAGCCCAAAATCCGCAAGCGTCTTGAGCCACGAAAACCCTGAATTCTACAATTGCTGTTAGCATTGTGTTATGAGTACCTGTTCCTACTATGATGATGAGTATGACTGTTACCATTGTTGTTGCTATCCTTATTGTATCGTTATTATTATTGTCATGATGTCATTATTGTCGGTATTATTATTATTATGACTATTATTACTATGGCTACCATTATTGCTATTAATTGTGATGATGACTATGGTTAGTATCATTATTGTTGTCCATATGTGTATTTTGTTATTATCATTATGATGTGTCGCGAAAGGAGCTCATGGAGGAGACCAAATCACTCGGTCGAGAGTTGGTGGAAACCGTGGACTTCCTAGTCCAGGCTGAGCAGAAGCGGCGGACGGAGCTGTGACACTGCCCAGAGGCTGGGGGCTGTAAGCGCGTACTGGCAGCAGCAGCAGGAGCAGGAGTAGGAGCGTGAGCGGCAGGAGCAGGAGCAGCAGTAGTAGTAGTAGTAGTAGTAGTAGTAGTAGCAGCAGCAGCAGTTGAAGAGCGTTAGGGACATGCTCTTCCGC